TTAAAAACAAGTAGCTTCGGGTTTGCCAACACGCTACGCGGCAATGCCACCAGAAAAAGCTAAGCCTCGTCCCCTTCGGGTGGACGTTAAACATCACTCCTTTGAAAGAGGGGAAAACCTCACCCTCTGGATTCGTGGGATTGAGATGATCATGAGCTCTGACCTTATCTCACTGGAGTACCAGCGGGTCTTGCTGGCCATTCCAAGCTCGATGGAAGCGCTAGAGAGTGGGCTCTGACGTATGGCACGTCGGTCGACTTGGCGTTTACCACATGGGATTTGCTCAAGTTAGACCTTTTGCGAGTTTTATCGCCGCCTAACCAGGCTTATCGCGTGCGCTCACGCTTTATGTCTACCAGTCAGGGTAAGAATGAGCTAACGGACTATGTCCAAGAGTTGAGAACTCTTATGGCTGCTATGCAGTCTGACCCTCTCCCTGAGACAGTCTATGTGACTGTATTCATGGAAGGTCTTCGCAATGGCGTTGCCAGGACCGAGGTCTTTCGGGTCCATCCTTCTACTTATTGAGGAGGCTTTTAGCATCGCTCAAAATGCTGAGCAGAACTTTGAGTCGACCAGACTTGGTTGGAATGGGTACAACCCAAGCTTTGCGAGGGCAACCCCTGCGAGCACCTCGGCTTCCTGTGAGCCAGAACCGATATATCTCAGTCATGCTGAATATGAAGGTGAAGCGGGGTTCATGTTGCCAAGCAACGACAGGAGGTGAGACGCTGTTACATGTGCGTAAGCACTAAACACTTGCGTCCCACTTGTCCTTTGCGTAAGCAATAACCGACTCGTATGAGTCGAAAGCCCGGCCCAACCAGAAACCTGGTATGGCACGGGGATACGTCGACACCTAGTAGGTGCGGGGCGCCCTACTGGGGTAGGACTGACTTCTATTGCTTCTCTACGAGGTAGAGTGAAACAGGGCTTAAGCCTCACTGAGCTCTATGCCCGCTAGCACAGAGCGTGGATACGAGCCTGGTTTGTTAGTCGCCGAGGCGAAGTTAAAGGCTTTGAGAAGCATTGGTCGATCCTGATCGACTCCGGAGCATCATGCAATTATGCTCCACGGCGTTCTCTTGAGGAAAGGCAGTTATATGCTGAAGCGCTCAAAACACATGAAGCTGATTCGATCACCGTTCGTTCAGCGACTGGTAGTCGCGTCACGATGCCTAAAGTTTCGTTGAAGTTAGGTGTGAAGTTTTCGGACTTCGACATCATTGAACGCTGCCTTGTCCTCGATTTGGATTCGAGATATGATATCATCCTAGGTATGGCTTGGCTTGAACGCCATGAGTCATGGATTAATTCGAGGTCTAAGACCTTGGGCGCAACGCGCTATGTTCCTAGCGAAGCTTTGGAGAGTCATGAACCCACCTTTGCTAGGCAACAAAAGCACTATTGGCGCGAGGCATTGGCGGAAGATGTCAATGTGCTGGACATCGGTATATCGGAGCTAACTAGCTCTAATGTCTATGACATGAATATTGAGCGGAGCTCTTATAATGTGTTTGAAGAGAGTTGTACTCCGTTGAGTGATACTCGTTGTTATAATGAGTCACCGCATGCGTCAAGCATGGTTGGCCTGCGGGCGGGACATACAGGAATTAATTCCTATGATGTCAGTGCGGTGGCACGTGAAAATACACAGAGTGAGGACGGCCGTGATGGCACCTCACTGAATGTCGGTAATGAAATTGTTGTCAAGAATCCAGAGTGTTCAGGGCTAGGCCCGAATGCTGTACGTGAAGTGGTCGGTGTAAATCCACTGGGTGAAGTGTTTGAGTTACGTAACACTTCACCAGATGTCGTTCCAGACATGAGCTCTCGTCTAGAGCGTGCTTAGACAAATAGCAACCACGGGGAACCGACTGTCCCGGCCTCTAGGAGGCGTACGGTTTCTTTGAGAAAACAATTCCAGCGTAAGGTGGCAACTGTGAAGCGCCCATCGTCTAAGAAGTCACGAATTGATGATAGTAATAATACACGATATACACTTGTCAATGGGTTGACTGGCCAGGTTAATGACAATATTAGTCTTGAGACTCTTCCATCCTTGGATACTCTCTTTGACCTAGACAAAATTTATGACGGCGAATTTAGCCGAGCCTTACAGGCAGGGGAATTATCCGAGTTCGTGGTCATTCGACCTGATATTGAGTCGAACTCATCCCCGTTATTGTACGAGTCTGTCCTTGAGGACACAAAGGCGGCATTGGATGCCCGTAGTGGATCTTCGATCCTTTCAAATCCTCTTGATCCGTTCTATCCTTTGGTAAAGGAGTTTCAAGATGTGGTGTGTCACTACCCACCGTCCGCCTTACCTCCCGATAGAGGTGTACGTCATAAAATTGACTTGGTTTCTGGAACTAAATACTGCGTAACTAGGCAGTGGCCTTTACCGAAGGAATAGTGCGACGTCATTGACGACTTCTTTTGTGCAAAGCACGCAGCGGGCATGGTTCGTGAGAGCAAATCTCCTCATTCTACACCGACCTTCTGTGTTAGAAAGCCCAATGGAAAGTGGCTAATTGTTCATGCTAACAATAAACTTAATGCTGCAACGATCCCGGCTCAGGCACCAATTCCGAGGAATGATGATCTTCGGAACAATATAGTGGGATGTACAATGTACAGTGCGCTAGACTTGGTTGATGGTTATTACCAACTTCTCATGCGAGAAAGCGATATTCCGCTGACAGCGATCAGCACTCCGAGTGGTATGATCTAAGAACGGCTTCTTATGCTGCAAGTCTTATCAAATGCCCCGGCTACATTCAATCGTCGTGTGACGCAACAGTTTTGGCCTCACCGAGGATATGCACAGACGTACATTGATGACATCTTTGTCCATAGTCGTGCTATGAACGGTCGGTCGGATGTGGACAATCACATTAACCATTTACGAGCAGTGCTTGAGTGCATGCGCACAAACAAGTTGTACGCCAACGCCTCAAATTGCATCTTTGGTGCACAAGAGATCCTCATTTTAGGGTGCGTCATTTGGAAGCGTGGCCTTCGAGCGGATCCTGCTAAGATAAAAGCCATAGTTGATTGGCCGGTTCCAAAGAACCAAAAGGACTTACGTAAGTGGTTTGGCCTTGCCAATTACTTACACAATTACTGTGCGAATGACGCAGATATGGCTCGGACATTATCCAATCTCCTTAAAAAGGATGTGGAATTGTGCTGGACTAGCACCGAGCATGATGCTATTCAAGCAGAAAGAAAAGTCTCCTTCATGCGCCTTGCTTGGCTTTGCCTGATTCTGATCGATCGTTCAGTGTCTTCTGTGAAGCAGGTGACTTTTACACAGGCAGCGCTCTCGTACAGACAGATTCTGATGGACGGAACGCGTTATTGCGTTTGAGTCCCGACAGCTGAAGGCTGCAGAAAAGAACTATCCTGTTCATGACAAAAAGCTACTCGAAATGAAGTAAGCTCTCACCAAATTCAGATTTAATCTACTTACTCTAAGACGTTTGTGATCAATACAGATCATGCGTCATTACGCACTTCGACCCAGTTGCTACATCTCTCTCAGCGAATGGCTCGTTGGCTCTCATTCTTTGCCGAGTACAACTTCGAGTTGAAGTATAAGACGGGCAAGAAGAATGCTTTTGCTGATGCGTTGTCACGCAGGCCTAACTATGAGCTTGCTAATGTAACGACTCTGTCGCCGTCGGTCACTGACCTAATCCGCACAGCATATGCCAAGGATGAACATTGTGTAGCTTAGCTACGTGCTCTTGGGAGCGACGAGTTCAAGGACTCGGACATAGAATTGTCGGCACGACTACGTGCGAGGTTACATCGATATTCTATCGACCAAGGCCGGTTGTGCTATAGCACGGATGTGGAGGATACCCCTCGCATTGTTGTACCTCATGATGAGGAGTTGAAGTATCGGATCCTTTATGAGGCACATGATACTGCGTTGAGTGGTCATCTCGGTCGTGAGAAGACATATGGCTCAGCTATCCAATGCTATTGGTGGCCCAAACTATACAAATGGGTGAACACATATGTTCGTACGTGCGAAATGTGTCAACGGATGCAACCCTCAGCGCTTGCGGCCGCGCTGCTGGCTAGTTTGCCTAAACCCAAAGGGTGTAGGGAGTCCATCAGTATGGGCTTCCTGTTCGGATTACACTATAATTCGTATGTTTATACGGGTATTGTGGTCTTTGTTAACCGTTTGAGCAAGATGGCTCACTTGGCGGCTGTGCCAGATACCGTTGATGGTGAAGGTACAGCTACGCTGTTTATCGATCGGTTGTTCCGACAATACGGTTTGCCTGTGGCAATTGTCTCCGATAGAGATCCTCGCTTCACTGGGAAGTTTTAAGGGTCTATCTTCAAGGTGCTCGGCACACGTTTGGACATGTCCACAGCGGATCATCCGCAGACAGATGGTCAAACCGAGCGATTGAAACGCGTCATCGGTGACAAGTTACGCAGTATTTGCGCTAATACACTAAAACGTTGGAGTTCGATGCTTCCTGTTGTTGGGTTCGCGTTAAATAACGCTGTTCACGCCTCTACAGGATTTACTCCGTTCTACGGGAACGGTCTCACACACCCTCGCGTTCCGTTGACGCTACCACTGCGGGGTTCAGGGCTTGGTGGGGGAGAGATGGCCGATCGGCTTGCTGATAACAGATCTGCTACTGTTCATAAACAGGTAAACGAGTTTCTTGCAACGCGCTTGAATGTGTTACGACACGTACGTGATGCACTGGTTGATAGCCAAGACAAGCAGAAGGTTCAAGCTGATGCTAAAGGAAGAGGATGTATTAAACGTTATGAGTTCGGAGACCAAGTTCTACTCAATGCTAAAAACCTACCTACAAATGTAGTGTCTGCCATCTTCAAGACAAAGTTGAGTCCGCGCTTCATTGGGCCATTCACGGTCATTGCTAAGAAGGGATTGGCGTATACACTCAACCTCCCGCGCAAACTGCGCACGCACCCAGTGTTCTGCGTCGGCTTACTTACGCCGTATCGGGATCCGTCTCATGTGAACTTGGAGGCGCTTGCGCCGGGTAATAGGGCCTTGCGTTCGGCTGTTGCATCCGAACTAGGAGGTCAAGCCGACCATCTACACGGGCTAAGGCCAACTCCAATGTTTGAACACGGGCTTGCATCGCGTCGAGCGCACTCTGGGTCTTACCCAATGTCTCTTGGAGACCACTCAGCTCACGGAGCACCTTCTCATGCTCCTCCTTCGGTACCCCGACTACCACCGACTCTGCTCGATAAGCAAGGGAACTACCAGTTCCATATGGAGCGACTCCTTTAGCGACTTCGTCGTCGTGGCCAATACCAGTATCTGGTAAAGTGGCGAGGGTACCCGGAGTCGGAGAACTCGTGGGAGTATGAGATACCCCTTCGGCAGGACTGCCCTTACGCCGTAAAGGTTTTTTAACATCGTGGCCTGGGTCGCCTTGCGAGCGAGAATACTTCTTACCAATAGTGGTGGGAGGTGGCGTGTTGCTCCGCACATCAGGGTCGAGACCCGTGGCTACCATTGTAGCCGGAGCATAACGCGTACGTGTACGCAACTGGCCTCTGGCCTTGAGCTTGGCATAATCGAACCGCTGCTTCCGTTCCAGACGAACGTCAGCCACATCGGCGCTGTCCCGCAGCGTTGGCACACTGCTAAGACGCCGCTTGCGGTACACCCAACGGATGAACTCATTGTCTTCCTCCTCGGGCAGCTCGCCAGCGAACAACAAGATGGGCACGCCCTTTATCGGTCGAACCAAACACCACGAGAAATAATCTCAAGGTGTGCAAGGTACTGACCTTGCGTGGTATAGGCTGGTTCGAGATACCTCTCATTTAGAGCCTTGCGAAAGGCGATATCTTCTGGCGACGTAGCCTCGGGGCCAATGGCCCATGTTGAAAGGCTACGGCCTTCCGTTTGACGGAGGCGTTGCTCCACGTCTGGTGTTGAGAACACGTAACCACTCCGGTTTCGAATAACCGCCTGGGTATGAGTGCGACGTAGAGCACGCTCCTCACTCTGACGGATCAGCTCCTGTTGCTCGTCGAGCGGGTTCGTGATGGTGTTCTCACCTGCATCTGTTGTATGATGCTTCGCCACTGGCGCGGTGGTATCACCACGTTCAACGAACGGATTCGGTGCTGTTAGAGGACGAGCCCCAGGTACAGCGTAGTGGGATGGATATCCCGTCATCTCCATGGACACTGGTATCCCTACCATAGTCCACATCCTCGTCGAAGTCGAGGTAAGATGAAAGTGTCCAAGACTCGTTGGGTGGCAATGCCATGGTGTTTCGTGATCAGCAACTGCGAGGTAAAGCACAAACACACCGACCTCTTCGAGGAAAGAAGCCGATTGACGTTTTGTAGTAACGTCAGTCTGGTGGGGGAGGGTGTAACGGGGTTACACGTCGGCTGGTAGTCGACGATAGGTGTGGTGCACACAAGAGAGGGGGTACCCTATAAAGTAATTTCAGAACACAGTGAGTGTATCAATTGTTAAAGACTGATGTCTGTCATCAATTGATTGCGAGATCTTTTAGGAGGTTATTTAGGGCAATTTAAAGACGTTGTTCTAAGGTGTTCTTTTAGGTTAATTAAAGAAAAAAATTTAGTTCCCTTTTGATCAGAAAAAGACACGTGCCTTGCGAGGCGTCTTGATCGGAAGTGCTAGCAACGCCTGTAAAAATAGCTACTCTTGAGCACTCTGTGCTGTGATTCTCTTAAATCGTTTGGTCCCCCTGGAACAGGGACCGCAAGCTCTCTGAGCTTGTTGACTCTCTGAGTCGGGTTCGTAGAACCAAAGTTGCTCGTAAGAGCATTAAGTCTTCCCCTGACTTAAGAAGCTGTGTAGCTGCGCTACAACGGCGGTGTACTGCATGAACTTCATAACGATGTGGTGCACTTCGCTGTAAAGAGCTGGACCAATGAAGTACGCTCTGACTGTAAGGATCGACACAGCTATCGACTGGATAGTTGCTGGCGATGAAAAGAAGATGCCGACGCCCACGAGCGACGAGAGCATCATCATGACACCGAATACAGCGCCCAGGAAATAGTACGTGAGCTTCATGTGCTTCGGGTTGTTGCCTAGCCCGATAATGATGAGCATCAGCAGACCGAATAGGTACGCGAAGTTGTACATGTACACGGCACAGTCCAGTACAGTTTGCGAGTAGCCAGAAGTGTCGACAAACTCGAGACTGTTTTGCTGAAAGCCCTGGAACACGATGAAGAATAACGCCAGGTACAGATTCGCTGGCAGGAAGAAGCCGAACACTGTGTATAGTAGATGATATAGATACAACACCAGGAACGCCATCTTCCTCGGGAACGAATGTGAGCCCTCCAGGTAGATACGACCCCAATTCCGAATACAGAAGAGCGTGGCGAAGAACGCGCCATTGAGCCAGCGCTTTCGCTGCGAGATCAGACCGACAAGATTGTGCGGGACGTCTGTACGAGTGATCGAGTCCATGACGTAGTGCATCGTCCAGCTGCAGTCTTTCCGTGCCACAACTTCAAACGACAACATCCTGTCTTCAGCGAGGTACATGTTGCCGAGAAAAGGTCCCAGAACATCCAAATCAACGTTGAGCGTCTGAAAGTACGCATCCAGTGGAGCTCCTCGAATAGCTTCGTGGCGATAAGCAGAGAACGCTCCTGGTAACACACTAATGAAGCCAAAACAACTCTCCAGCGACTTGTCCAGGATATTCGAGATCTTGTACTCGAAATGCTGCGCTGAAACGACCCAATTGCTCAGATTTTCGAACGCTTCGTCCACCGTCAGATGTCCACAAGCTCCACCAATCTGTTGATTGCGCTCCATCGCAAAGAGCACGTGATAGAGCGCAGACTTCGTCAACATCGTGCCAACGTCCATCACAGCCGTATACTCCGGCTGCACCTGCTCGGCGAGCGCGTCAAAGTACCACCGGTGCGAGTCCAGTTTGCTCGACTTGTGCTCCTTGAGAGCGAACACCGTCTGAATAGGCAAGAGACGCTTGCCATCCACCGAGATCTGCAGCGTGTGCTCGAACAAATGACATTGCGTGTCAATGCCGGCGCTATTGATGGTCAAGAGGCCTTTATCGTACAAGCCGGTAGACTCCAAGTGCTCGAGCATCTTGTCATTGACCTTCTCGCGGCCGTCAGCGACGATACAGATGAGCACGTTCTGCCACACATTGTCGCCCGCGAACGGCCCCATTAGTGCGTAAGGATTGTTCTTGCGCTGACTGCGGCTCCGTCAGCTGCTGTTCTTTCAAATAGGCCAAATTGTTCGCGAGTTTCGTCAGCGTCGCTTTCAGCTGCTCTGGCTCTTCGTTGTACATGGTGATGCACACCATCAGACGCGGCCGTCGTCCCGTCTCTACACATCTGAACCGGTACCCGAAGTTGGAAAAGTCCAGTGGGTGCGGACAAAACACGGGCGTGTACCACAGCCGACGCGCCTCTTCTTCGTCCAAGCTCGGGCCCACCCAGTCTTCGTCCCAATTGCGCACGAGGGTCCCGACATTGTGCACGCCCGAGCGCGGGTGATTCTCCTGCACGCGCTCTTCGACCCAATCACGGAGCAGCGCGTTCCGGTTCGACGTCTCAACGACTTCGCTTGCCAATGAGGTGTGGATTTCTGCGTGCATTCGGCGCTCCGTTACATTCGCCATGGCGTACCCGAAATCAAGGTGATGAAACCCTTGACGGAGAAATGCGAAATGAGAGCACTTACGTTTTGCGCTAGCAAATCTTGTGCTCTCCAAAGCCTGCATAATTGTTTACGACTGTAAACTCGCTCCGAATGTAGCCTACGATTATTACATCGTCCAGCTGTGCGCTCTAATTGTAGCCCACACCAGTGTAATGAAAATGGTCTTTCTTATTGTAGCCCACAACCATTACTATTAGTCTAATCTTGATACGTTAACGTTACTCACAGCCGTCTCTGATTAACAACTTGCATTGTTGACGTTGTCGCACGAGACAACTTCGCGAAAGCTCAACTAGACTCACCAGAAACTTGCAAATCTTGGCCCTAAACATACTCCAAAAATTGTGGAAATAGCACGACGGTAACCGGCTTGCTCATCTGGTCAAAATTCTTGTAACGGTGCAGCCCGTTACATGGAATTGTCACTTTAAAGAAAGTGACAATAAAGAATATGAAGTTGAATATTCTTTGAACAATATCATTAAAGTGGTGATATTGATGGGTTGACAAAAGAGTCTGTTCATTGGTTGATATCTTGATGATGTCAACCCACCAATCGCCGCAAGACGCGCGCAATGAGTGGTGACGAGACGTCACCATACATTCAGTTATATTAGCATAATTAAGTTAAGTCAAACAGAGAGACAGTAGTTAAAAGACTTAATTATATTAATACAACAGTTCTGCTTTTACCCTACCTACGCTTCCTCGCCTGCCTTGTGTACGTCTGTCGGGGCACCGATACCCTTGCGTTAAGTTCACGCAAGGGTATACCCCGTTACACCTGGTAGCACTTTGTAGTCCTTCCAAGGACCACAACATTTAACATGAACATGTTGGATGATGAAGAGACCTTTCACGCCACACGTGAAGTGTTTACCCATTTGAGTGACATCGAATGGAGTGCGGTAGAACGAATTAGTTCTACCGTAGGCGAGTTCGCCATTAGCGCCATGTTGGAGTCTCTAGACAGAGACCAAGAACATGCCGCTATAGCCAAGTTCATCCAAAGTAAACTTGTCGCCGAAAGGGAGAAAGTAGCCTTGCTTCACCAGCAAGGCTCTCAACAGGCCGAGCAGTTGAGAGAACTCGGTGCTCAACAGACAGAGCTGTTGATACAGCAGCAATTCCATGCTTCTGTGGGCGGGACGGCACATGCGCGTCGTCCCGAGGTCATGAAGTTGACATCTCCAAGTACAGTGGAGTCCCGGAGGACTCCCTGTTACTATGATTTGTCGAACTCGACAGAGCCTTAAGGGCTCGTCGCGTCGAAGATGAGCAAATGAAACTCACATTTGCTCAGACCCACTTGGCAGGGCGTGCCAAAACTTTGACCCTGGGGCTCGAGAGTAGCGACCCACATGTGTTAAGGTCGCTAGATGCTTCAAGTCCCAGCTCAGACAAACGTTTGAGCCGCCACGGGCTGAGTTCAGGGCTCGTTCCGAGCTCCTGAAACTCAAGCAGGGTAAGCGTGATGTGCACGCTTACGCTCAACATATACGACGCCTCGCGAGTATTATAACTGCTACCCCAGTCCATGTATACACGTTGATTACGGTGTTCATGCAAGGGCTCGCAGAAGGGCCCGTCAGGAGCCACCTGTTCCGCCTTGAGCCGAATACGCTGGCAGAAGCGATATCAGCCGCGGAACAGGAAGACTTCAGCATGAGACAGGCTCATGCTAGATCAAACTCTTGTCGTCCACCGAGACGACAAGAGATCGGAGGTCCAGAACCAATGGACCTCTACTATGTTGAGAGCGAGAGACCTCGCTCTTCAAACAACAAGCGATTGCAGAAGTGCAATCGCTGTCAGAAGTCAGGGCACTTCGCACATGAGTGTAGTGCCCCACGCCCAGTACCAAGCAGTTCTGAGCAAAATGGACGACCATTTGCTAAGAAGGGAAATTGGCGTGGGTCCAGCGCTGTTGCGAAACCGCAAAAGCGAGACGGACCATCAAAAAATGGACGGGGTCAATAGGGGCGGAGCGCCCTACTGATCCAGCAACCTCAAGAGAATTCGCAAATCTCTTGACGAAAGTTGCTCCAGATACACAATCATTGTGTGTCTATGCACCTGGTGATGAAGTTTCGCTCATCACCTTGAAGTTGGAAGCGACAAATGATTTGTCGCTTCGTGCCCTAGTAGACTGTGGGGCGTCGAAGAACTTTGTTCGACGCCAGTCACTAGAGGGTCGTAGGCTCAAGTTCGATGAACGCGACATTCCCCTCACGAGGATGACGGTGCGCCTTGCAACAGGCGCATCGATTACCGTTGAGAAACGTGTAGTAGGAATCCACTAAACGTTAGAGGGCGAACAGTACGATGATGTCTTCATCGTACTAGATCTGGATGACAAATTTGATGTCATCCTGGGATTACCTTGGCCCAGAAAGTACGAGCCAAGAGTGAGATGGCAGCATTGATCCGTGAAGATGCCTACCGCTTGTTCATCAGATGGTCATCTGATGAACGTCATGGAGCGTCCACAATCGTGTGGATGTACTGCGAGTGAGTGCGATGCCCTCACTTGCGGTAAGGTCGTTAGCACGACTGCACAAGATCACAGTGTAGTTGATCACTACACTATGCAGCAAGCTCTCGGTGGCTGTACAGAAGTACAGGCTGCGCCGAAGGTCCACCATTCGAATAAGTCGAGTGGACCGGGACATGGATGCATGCCTAGCGGGCAGCCTCTTAGAAGTAAGAAACCTGTTGCCCCCAAGGGCCAACATGGAAATCCTAGGTCGACTGGAGAGTCGATCGTAAAGGATCGGTGCCTGACTGTGGTTGCACAGCCACAGTCAGAAGACGTCGAGGGAATAAGTCCCCACGTGCTTGAGGAAGGAATTCCTAAAGAGTCACTTGCTGAAGTATTAGGCCTTCAGCAACCTTTGGAAGCAAGGTACCAGGAAGTAATTGAGACGTTGAACGCCTTGGTCAATAACGGATCAAGCGTAGGCGCTTATACGCTTGATCTGATTGTGCCTCCGAAGTTAACTTCGGAGATAACTCTGTTGCCAACTCTAGAACCGAAACGGTTATTGCGTGATCTGCGGAGTGGCAAAGTCAAGCAGGTCTGCATACTCGTCACAGAGGATGAGTATGTGGCCATTATTCGGTCGGCAACAGTACTTGCTGAGAACGAACGGGTTCTCAGCAGCTCATCGATGGACGAAAGTGTCCTCGATGAGAAGACTCGGATTGAGCGATACACGTCTCAATCCTGAGAGTCACTTCAGGCAAATACTTTGTACAAGGATTTGATCGAATTCAGGGATGTGTTCCCTGAATCCGTACCTTGCGAGTTGCCTAAGGACAAAGGCACTCGACACGAGATCGAGCTCAAACCGGGCTCGAAATACTGTGTCATTAAGCAGTGGCCACTGCCTCGTGAACAAGTGATAGCGATCGACAAGTTCTTTGCCGATCGCTTAGCAGCGGGCCATGTGAGGGAATCAACATCCCCTCACAGCTCTCCGACCTTCTGTGTGCGAAAGGCCACAGGAGGGTGGCGGATAGTGCACGCATTAAACAAATTGAATGCTGCAACGGTACCGGATCAGACGCCGATACCAAGGAAGGACGTAATCATAGATGGTATGTCAAAGAGCACCATATTTTCTTCCATGGATCTGATGGATGAATTCTATCAGATCCTCATGCGTGAACGGTACATCCCGTACACAGCAGTGAGCACCCCCAGCGGTATGTTGTGGGAGTGGCTAGTGATGCCACAGGGGCTGAGCAATGCCCCTGCAACATTCAACAGATGTGTCACAAATCTGTTGAGACCGGTGCGAGACTTCGCACCGAGTTACTTCGACGATGTGTTCGTCCATAGCCGGGCTATGGACGGAAAGACGGACGTTGAAGTTTTCAGAACTCACGTTGTTCAGGTTCTTCAACCTATGCGCAAGCATAAGTTGTACGCAAACCTCAAGAAGTGTATATTCGCGGCTAGCGAAATACCACTTCTTGGGTGCATCATGGGTAAACACGGCGTACGCCCTGATCCCGAAAAGATCAAGGCAATCACCGACTGGCCTGTGCCAGTCGATGTCAAGGGACTAAGGAAGTTCCTTGTGCTAGAGGCGTACTTGCACAAGTACTCGCGCAACTACGCCGAGATGACGGTACATATTTCTTGGTTACTCAAGAAAAATGTGAAGTGGTCATGGAACGCTGAGTGCCAGCGTTACTTTGAGGGTATCAAGCAAAGCTTGATGCAGTCGCCGATATTGGCGATTGCAGATCAGGACAGACCATTTCATGTGGTCTGTGACGCCAGCGATTTTGCAATCGGCTATGCGTTAAGGTAGTTCGACGCAGATGGCGCGGAGCGCGTCATCTGTTATTAGTCGCATCAGCTGCAAGCAGCTGAGCGCAATTACCCAGTGCATGACGAGAAACTCCTTGCCATGAAGTACGCACTAGCTAAGTTCCTGGTATATCTCTTAAGAGATAGACCGTTTGTTGTCGATACGGACCATGCGTCACTACGCACGGCCGTAAACAGCCCACACCTCTCGCAAAAATGGCGAGGTGGCTGTCTTTCTTCGCGGAGTATAACTTCTCCGTGGAGTATAAATCAGGACGACTAAACGTCGTCGCTGATGCGCTTTCGCGCCGGCCCGATTTCGAGCCGGACGCACAAATCAACAGTGAGGATAAGAATACTGTTGCGACACTGTCATTCAGTGGCCCGTCGTCAAGTAAACTTGACGACGTACGAAAGGCATACGCGGAAGATAAGGATCTTCTGCGATTGATGGATCATCTGATGCATCCATCCAGTAAATCCATGAGGTATTTGCCGGCTTTGTACCGATCCGATGAGGATCGGTAAAAAACACGCAACGGATTGCTGTACTATACAGCTGTTGCCGACGACACGCCTCGTGTCGTCGTACCCGCTCATCATGATTTGCGATCACGCATCATGTATGAGTGTCACGA